ATATATACATATATATATACATATATATATATATATATATATATATATATATATATATATATATATATATATATACATATATATAGATATATACATACATATGTATATACATATATATAGATATATACATACATATATATATACATATATATAGATATATATATACATATATATATACATATATATATATATATATATATATATATATATATATATATATATATATATATATAAATATATATACACTGTGAGTTTACTTGTTTAATTGTTTTAATTTACTTGTTTAATAGATGGCTACACTTGTTGCGAGTACTGCCTGTACGCCCTTTTAACCTTTTCTTTAGTTTACAAAAATTTTTATGTTATCTTATTTTGCTGTTAGTAATGTTCATATCATTATAGTAATTATAATGTTTATAATGAAAATAACCATCGATATTTATAGCACTAGTAAAAAATACATTTTCCCGCCAAATGAAATCAGGTGAGGCAGAAAAAGTATAAGAATGAACATAGCATTTTCCCCATTTTTTTTTAATTTTTACCCGGCACGAACGGGTTAAAAAAAAAATTCTTGTAAAGTTTATTTGTTTTTATGTTTCTTAGGTCTAATCGTGCTCTACCCTCTAATGAAACGTGTGACCTACTGGCCACAGCTCATGCTGGGATTCACCTTCAACTGGGGCGCTCTCTTAGGCTGGGCATCAGTCCGGGGCACATGTGACTGGGCTGTTTGCTTGCCTTTGTATGCTGCTGGTGTAGCATGGACACTTATCTATGACACTATATATGCACATCAGGTATGAGGATATATTTCTGTATGTCTCCTCTTTCTCTCCCCCACCCCCATATCTCCCTTGCCCTCTTCTCTCATTTCTTTCTTAACCCTTTGCCGATGGGCATGCCATGCCATGCCTGCTGTGAGTTTACTCATTTGATTGTTTTTACACATAGATAGCTACACTTGTACTAAACCACCAGTGAGCCAGTTACCAGTACTGTCTGTCTTGCCCGTTCACCCTTTTCTTTAATTTTCCTATTACTAATGTTATAACATTATAGTAATTATAATGTTTATAATAAAAATAACACCATAGATATTCATAGCACTAGTAAAAAATACATTTTCCCACCAATTCAGGAAAAGTTGATATCAAATAAGGCAGAGCCATCTATGTGTAGTGACATTTTACAAAGAAATATAAAAAATGAGCACAGTATTTTCCCCATTTTATATTTATTTTCCCTGTCGGCAAGGGGCTAATCTCTCTCTCTCCCTCTCAAGCATACACACATTCTTACAAGCACACACACATATAAGTACATGTACTTACAAGCACAAACCCATACATATACTTACAAGCACAAACACACATGTACTTACAAGTGTACACACATGTATTTACAAACACACCATCATATACTTATACATCACACACATACCTACAAGCACACATACAAATACCTTACAAGCACACATACACATACCTACAAGCACACACACACACATACCTACAAATACAAGTATACTTACAACCACACACACATTTACTTACAAATATACACATGTACTTACAAGTACACACACATGTACTTTGTCACACACAAATAAGTATGCATACACACAGAAGCGCGCACTCACTCATGCACAAGCATGCACATACACACACATGTACTTACAATCACACACACGCAAGTACGCCTGCATGCACACGCACACTGTACTTACAAGCATACACATATACTTACAAGCCCACACATACTTACACATACACTCATATACATGTTCATACACACATGTACTTAAAAGCACACAAATAAGTATGCATGCACACACATACTTTAAGCATACACATATACTTACAAGCACACACATGCTTACACATACACTCACATACTTACATGTCCACACACACATGTACTTAAAAGCACACAAATAAGTATGCATGCACACACACAAGTGTACACTCACACACAAGCATGCACATACATACTTTAAGCATACACATGTACTTATAAACACAGACACACATGTACTTACAAGCACAAACACACAAATAAGTATGCATTCACACAAGTGCACACCCACTTACCTTCACAAGCACACACATACACACAAGCATGCACACACACACACACACACACACACACACACACACACACACACACACACACACACACACACACACACACGCATGCACACACACACACACACGCATGCGCACACACACACACACGCATGCGCACACACACACACACACACACACGCATGCGCACGCACACACACACGCATGCACACACACACGCATGCACACACACAGACACGCATGCACGCAAGCACGCACACACAAGCACGCATACACACACAGGCACACCCACACACAAGCACACACACAAGCACGCACACACACACACAAGCACACACACACACAAGCACGCACACACACAAGCACGCACACACACAAGCATGGACACACACACACAAACATCGTACACACACAAGCACGCACACCCATAAGCATGCACACACACACACATATATATATATATATATTATATATATTATATATTATGTGTATATTAGCAAAATTAAAATTTTTATTTAAGATTCCCTTCTTCCATGAATGTTTCTCAGTTTATTAGATTAAAGAAATCTTTAAGGCTTCTATAACTTCCTCTCTTGTAATTGTATTTCCCCTTTCTTCCCCTTTATCTTAAAGGAGGACAGTACTCCATATCCATATCTTTATGCTTTGTGAATATTAAGTCAAGCATAGACAGTCTGTCTTGCCCTTATTTTGGAAAAAGCAAGACTGCAATTTTGAAGTAATTTTACAGTTACAAAAAATTCTTTTCCATTAACCACCAAAAGTTATAGAACTTCTAGCAGGCTCTTTCAAGTTTCTTGGATTAGTTTTTAGTAATTTTCTTGTGACCACACCAATGTATGAGGTGGCACGTACACTGTGGCTATAATAATGTTTATCTTGTTTGTTTTTGTCTTAATAGCCTTTAGTTCTATTATTGGGTCTTTTATAAAAATTCCTTTCCTTATTAATATTGCTACTCCTTCATATTCCATCTGCCCTATATTTTCTCCAAATATTATAATCTCTGAGGCCTAATGTTTCATCATCTTTGGACGGATCCAGTTTGGATTCAGTGATACATTTTACATCTGGTTTATTAATTTCAATAATTTTATCAACTTCTAGATCCTTCAAAGATAAACAATCTATATTTGTATAAATTATGTCTATATAATGTTTCAGTATTCCTTTTGGTTGCATGGCTCTTGTTTGTCTGTCTCAACATTTTGGTTCTAAGAGTAGACTTGTTTTGCTTGGAGGTCCCTCGCCCTTCAAAAGTTTTGCTAATTCAGTCCTTTGTTGATTTATGTTCTTTGCCTCTTCCAATTTCTTCTGCAATACTTCTCTGTTATCTTTGGTGTTATTTTCTCTTATCCAGATCTTCATGGATGGCCAGGACTTTTGCTTTCTTTATTACATCAGCATTTGCTCATTCATGAATGTTACATGTAAAGGGCATTTTTTTCCCATTTTGAATAATCCCAACCTACTAGAACCTATGATAATCTGAATAATGATGATCAATTTCCTACCACCTAACTCCTTCCCCTTCTAACAACATTTACCTTATACTGTACCCCTAAGTTCACCCTTTCTACCCTTTCACTAGCATCCTACCCTCTAGAATTCTTCAACCACTTACTTTACCCAAATCTTTAACTCATTCCTAATCCTTTTTGATATTATACTATATATTTGTTTTAAGTATTAACTTAATCATTGGAATGTTTCTCTCTCCAGGACAAATGTGATGATGCCATCATTGGTATTAAATCAACAGCTCTGAAGTTTGGTGACCAAACTTGGAAATGGCTGAGTGGATTTGGCCTCACATTTGTGTCATGCCTATTATTAACTGGCTATAATGCTCAGTTAGCATGGCCATATTATTCTGCGGTTGCTGTTGCAACATTTCATGTCACAAATCAGGTACGAAAACTTCTAAGAGTCTATAAGTTATTCCATTATGAAGCAAATAGCTTATTTCCAAAGATTATTACATGTACCATACCATTTATCTGTAGTCTATTTTCAACTGACAGCTTTAGAGGTGTTAATTTTTATCTGTTAAGTATGATAAGTTGAGAAAACTAAAGTCCAGATATCTGTGGTGCCTCCAGTCCCAAGCTTGCTGGATAAATGGTCTGGTACTTTTGCTGATTTTTTACCAAATTGAATTAATTGTGGGATAATGAGCTTGTTGACAAAAGAGAGGTCACTATGATTAGTTTGGAGGAATTAATTCAATTAACAATGCTCACTTGATATTACAAAGGTAAATTTCATATATGATAGTAGTTTTTAACCCAGTGCCGCCGGGGAAATAAAAAATGGGGAAATTGCTGTGCTCATTTTCTATATTTTTGTGAAATGTCTCTGCACATAGATGGCTCTGCTAGTGCTTAGCCACAAAGGAGTCAGTTAGTAGACCTTGTGACCTTGCGTGATTTGAATTGGTGGGAAAAACATATGTTTTACTAGTGCTATGAATATGTTATTTTTATTATAAACATTATAATTACTATAATGTTATAAACATAAGTAACAGCAAAATTATATAACATAAAATATTTCGTATATCAAAGAAAAGGATAAACGGGCGAGACAGGCAGTACTTGTAACTGGGCTCATTGGTGACTTAGTACAAGTGTAGCCATCTATGTGCTAAAACAATCAAACAAGTACTCACAGTGAACGTAGCACTTACATACACGTCATGCCCGTTGGAATTGGGTTAATGTAGTTGAGAAAATTTTGTATTCAGTCCTACTGGGGAAGGGATGTACATGCATGCTATGCCCACTGTTAGTTTACTTTATTAATTGTATTTACAAATAGATGGCTCTACAAGTCACTTACGTGCCTTAGTCATGAAATCAACTACTAGTACTACTTACCTCTACTGTTAACCATTTCTTTGATTTTCAGACATATTCTCTTTTGTCCTAAAAAAAAAAGAAAAAAAAAAATGAATACTCATGGAAAGGGGAAATCACTTGAGGGCATGAGGACTGCATAGTGGATGAGCACTTGTTGAGACATCAATCTGTAGAGACATTTCACAAAAGAAAATTTAGAGCTGTAGGTATATTTTTACCTGCCTATCTTTCATTCTGAACAACCCAGTTATTAGTTTTCAGACTTTAGAAAGCTGTACCTTGAGAACTAGTACTGTTAATCATTAGTGAGTTAATTTTGACCGACCAGAATTGCACAATATAAAATAAGAATAACTTATGCAAAGATTTTATTTCAGCAAACAAGTATTAATTAACAAATGTATTTTGGTTATGTAATCAGTAGAATTAAATTAAACAAATACTGAAAACCATAAGACAGTGCTGCAAAAAATTGGTAGTACTAAGCCCTAGACAAAATTCAAAATTACTTCCTCTAATAATGTTCAAAATTATTTCCTTTAACCCAACTCCTCTGGGGAAAATAAATAAAAATAGGGGGGAAATGCTGTGCTAATATTTTATATTTTTGGGAAATGTCTCTGCACATAGACTGTTCTGCTAGTGATTAGCCACAAAGGAGTCAATTAGT